CCCCGCCCCCATTCTCAATATTCGCACAAAAGAATTCCAAAGCGAAATAAAAAATAAATTCAACCGAAATGAAATGAATGTGCTCGTGCTCTCATAAGTGCCGGGTTTTATGTTCCATAATTCACACTAAGCTGCGTAGTTGACGTTGGCTGCATGATTATGTAATAAGAATGATGCACAGCCCTTTTGGTCAATCCACTGCTGGATGAAGGGCACTCTTATGCCGCGTCAATCGTGGGGGTCATTTTGTCATGCTTGGCTGCCAATCAGCAGTGCGAGTTGGCGAAGGGGGGGGGAGGGGGCAGGGCCCAGCAGCGGTTCGGACGTAGCTCGCTGCTCACGTTAGCCGTGGCCTGGGATTTAACTTGGGATACAAATTCCCGGTCACGGTTCACGGCGTGTTGCGCTAACCGCTCCGCCGCCACTCCACGCTTGCTGTGTGATTGCACTGCTGCAGCGTTAGCCACGGTCCCATTTTTTGCTCCGAAACCCAGAGCCACGCTACTCTCTCTGCCTAACCGCACCCAGGGCCACACCTCCACCTCCGAGCCGGGCGCTCGCGAAACACCGGCGACCGGTGCTCGCAAAATATCGCCAGCGCGTCTTTGCGCGCTCGCGAGGGAGTAACGGGGCCACGGAGCCCACTTCGGACATTTAAATCCGTGGGGCGCGTGGGGCGACGTTCGTTTGAGGCCCAGGGGCGTCTGGAGCGGCGAGTGTTACCTGCGACAGCACCCGGGGAGTCGGCGTGACGGGGACGGAGCGGCTTGGTGCGGCCAAGAGCCCTGTCGCCGACGTTGGCCGGGCACGGCGCCCGTCACTTCGCACCGTGATTGTGAAATGTAAACGCGTCAACGGTGGGACGCGCGATCATATCCCTGGGGTTGAATTCTGAGCGGTCGATCATTCTTTCTCTCTTTATTTGGAGACACGGGAGAGAGCCGCGTAACCGCCACGGTCTGTTTGGCGAGGAGGGCCGAGGAAACAATAGAGGCCAAGGCGAGGGTAGAAATGCGTTTTATCGAGGTGCGGCTGTGCTGATATTCACACGCACGGCTGTCATGTTGGCTGCGTACTTGGCGAAAGAAGTTCAACATACATGCCAGAACAACACGCTTATGGACCAAAACAATAAGATTAACTAATAAAAACTATACGTATGTATGCAGGGGCACAACTACCTGTTTCAATGGGGCAATGCAAGATACGACTGTGGGCCCCCCCCCCCTTCTTTCTCCCGACTCACTTTTCCTGAAATAGCTACATATGTTTTTAACCCGTATACAATAATATATCATTTGTGTTGCACCATGTATTGGGTGTAGAATAAGACGGTCTCAGTGACAGTATTAATAATGCGATTTAAAGGTACAATACTCGCAATTAAGTTATCGTGCGTCTTGCTTTCATGCCAGCTCCATTGGTCTAGGATTTCCTCAGTGGGTAGATCGCGCTACTCTATGCTACTCTTTTGATACGATAGCCAGATGCCTTAGTCGGCCTCGGTCCATGGTAGACTGCAGGTACATTTTTAATGAATACTTTTTGTAATTTTTGTTACAATGTTTTGCTGGTTTATCTTTTGGTTCAGGGCCCCCTCCTGGCCGACGGGGCCCCTATACATCACATGATTCCCCCATACTTGCGTCCCTAAATGTGGAGGGGAAAACCGGATGATCCGGAGAAAATTCCACGACCACGGTGAGAGGCATACAGACTCCCAATATACAGCAGATGTCAGGGTCAGGATTAAACCCATGACCTCCTGGATACCAGGCGAGGGAGTTAACAGTTCCTCTCCACTGTGGCATACTTTTTCACGATTCCCACCATGATTCATGCCGATTTCGAGTTAAATGCGAAGCAGTGCAAATGCCTGTCATTTTCCCTCAAAGACGATTAAACTAAAATATAATTAGTCGATTCCACAAGTTGGTTGACATGTAGGACTATTAACATCCTTCAACATATGTTGAATTTCCGTTGCACCGTACGTAGCCAACCGTGCTAATCAGAGGTGTGGGGCAAGGACAACAAACTGAACACAATAAGCAGTTCTAAAGAAATTTTTATACATATTTCAAAAGTGATTAAATATCATCTATTGTGTATAAGCATGTAAACTTCTGCATGAATAAAACATTTGTGATACCATTTCTTGAGATTTGTTTCAAATGTTATTTCCATATGCATAAAATGCACAGCTCATAATAGCGTACGGCGTGTTGCTAAATTTATCAGTATATCCCATATCATTTATAATCTATAACTCTTCTCTCGGTCAAACTACTTTCGCAACATTTTACACAAGTATGATTAGACGCAAAGGACGTGACGCACGCACTGTGCATGTACGATGCAAACGACTCGGACATTCACTCTCGGAAGAACATTTAATTATAGTTTTTTTTAATAATTCTGAGACATCAATTTTCGTTGTGGCTTGGATGGAGAAGTTTCGTCGTGCGATTGAAATGGTTCCCAAGTATTTGTCGCTCTTTGTCGTTCTTTATCACTCATCGCTCCTCCTCATCGCTCTGTCGCTTCTCGTCCGCTCATTGCTCCTCATCGCTTCTCCTCATCGCTCCTCCTCATCGCTTCTCATCGCTCCTCCTCATCGCTCCTCCTCGTCGCTATTCTTCACTTTTCCTCATCGCTCTTCGACGCTCGCAAGGTGCGAGTGGTCACCTCGCTGCAGCGTGCATGGTGTTCAGCACCTCTCTTCGTAGTGAATCTCACGGTGCGACTGACGCTCGCCCGAGATTTTCCGTGTGGTTTAAAAATGAACGACAGCTGTGTTCCAGCTGTGAGCTTTGCAGATTCTGCTGATGGTCGGTGGGGGAGAGTTAATGGCCAGGACTTGTGTTGGGAGACTGGCGGCAGTGGCGGCAGCGGTGGCAGTGGCGGTGGAGGCGGCAGCCCTGCCTGCCCTCCAGCGCCTCCGCGCCTGCCCTAAAGGAAGTTTCTCCGCGCAGACCCAACTCGCTCGGCTCGTGCTTTGGACATCATCATCATCATCCTTAAACGCAGGGGAAAAACAATCATGAACGATAAACAAATCCTCCGTTGGGCACCTGCGTGCCCGTCCTCCGGCCGCCGCGCGCGTGACTCCTGTCTTTGGTTTGGCATCAAAAGCCCGATCAAATATTAATGCGGCTTAGAAAAATCGCAGACCTTTTGAGCGTGACCCACCTGTAACTTAAAGCTGGAAGGCGGCAAAGGTCTTGGCGGCGCGCGGATGCACATTTCTTGTGCGATATTAGAGCTTGTCTTGGACGTGAGAAAATGGCGGAGTGGGTCAAGCACTGATCGTAAAATGGCAGCAGCCGAGGGCGAGTGAGTGAGTGGGTGGGTGGGCGAGCGAGTGAGTGAGTGATGAGCGGAGCGCGCTCCTGCCGGTGGAGCGGCGGCGCTGACAAAAAAAATCAAATCACAAACTTACCTGAGACGCGACGAGTCAATCGGGCGCGGTGATGCATGGCTCCCCCTCTCACTCGCGCATTCCTCGTCGCAATGGACTCCCGCGACTCGAGTCCCAACCGGGCGGGCGGCATGCGTGTTCACGCGCGCACGATATCGAAACGTTCTGTCGAATTTAAACGCTGGCTTCTCCCGGGTTTAATGCGCCTTATACGTCTATATTTTTTTGTCCCCTAAGCACACCTGCGGTGCGGCATTTCATTTACTTTCTTGGCGCACCATGTAATACCAAACGCCATCTTCACAATTTCTCTCGAACATTTCATGCCGATGCTTTGCAAGTAGATTTGCATAGGTACGTAATGTATATCTTTCAAAAGCTCAAACCGAACGCCGTGCGAGATTAGAGTGGAGAAAGAATAAAGGCGGAGAGGGGCCGCAATGTCTCTCCATGTCGGGTCGCGACCCGAGCGAGATTCTCTCTGCCGCAGCCCGCTGGGCTAATTCCTCGCCGCGCTCTCTCCGCCGGTGTCTCCTCTGCGCCGCGGAAACCTGAACCGCGCCGGCAAGTAGGCCGCCTGCTTCTGCTTAGTGCGCCGCCGCGACCCTCGGTGACGCGCGACGACGAGGCGTGGGGTCTGCCTGGTACGACGGCTGACGCCCCCCGCTCGCTCGCTCGCTCGCCCGCCCGCTCGCTCTGGCATGTCGGCGAGGTTCTGTCCTGCCCCTCGCGCCGCGCGACTCGCCCGGCAGACACCCGCATGGTCGGGGCAACGACGATGACCACGACGGCGGCGGCGGCGGTGCCGTGAGCGCTGCGAATGGGACTTCGCTCGCGACGCCGCCGACATGCCAGTGTTGGTCGCTCGCTGAGGTCGTGCCCGCTTAATGGGCGATGAAATAAAATTTGAGGAGTGGCCGCTTTGGCGGCGGGGGTTGAAAGGAAGCTGGCGGGGATGAAAATGTTCGGGAGGTGCGTTTGGTAATGAAGGGGGAACCCATGTTGCCGTCGCCACGACTCGATAATTTGTGAAAGGAAGTTTTGTAAAAAAAATCCTGAAACAACATGCTTTTGACACGGGAGTATAAAAAAATCAAAATCCCGACCACTTTCTACACATGCCGGAAATTTAAGCAACGCAATTTTCTATTTCACAGAGTTATTCTCTGAGAATAAAATAAATATGGCAAGGAACGCACGAAGCGAAATCTAAACGTCTCCACGTTGGTCACTGCTGCCATTCCGATGATGTTTGGCTTTTTGTCGGGCAAGCAGTCTCATCTCTTTTTCCCCCCCCCCCCCGCCCTTTACTTATTTTATTATTTTATTGCGATAGCGGCCGCGTCCGACCCGGAGCGTGGCTGGACCGGCCCCGATCGGTGCGGCGTGAGCGAGGATTGGGCAGGGCGACTGTGCCGCCGGTACGACCGCTGCCGGCACCCCAAGCGCGGGTGTGCTCGCTACGGCGGCGGTGGCGGCGGCGCCGGCTCGGCCGAGTTGCTCGGGCCGTGGGTTGGGTTTGGAGGGGAGTTGCATGGGGTGGGGGGGCGGTCGGGGAAAGGAATCGCTGGCGATGACTAACAAGGCGCCATTTCTGCAGAGACGCGCTGCCGCACCTAAATTTTTACTCCTCGGGGAGCTCCCTGTCCCCCGAGAGATCCAATTTTAACCCCTCCTGTGCGCGGGTCTCGGCCCGGCAGGCCATGCACCTCTCTCTGTGCCGTAAATAATTCATCTGGTCAGTATGTACGGGGTTTTTGTTGTTGTTGTTCCTGTGTGATGCATGTCATATCTTCGCGGTCGTTTTTTTATACCTAAGTCTCCGAAGGGGAAATAAATAAATAACCCTCTGAGTAAGGAGAGACATGTGAGCGATTGGTATCGGTTTGGCCATCAAAAAAAAGTGACATTTCTGTCGCAATATTTTCATTCACAAATGTTTAATTTCCCTTTGTCGTTGTTGTGTTTTTTTTTTTTTACAGTGAGGCCTCGACGGAATACTGTATTTCAAAGAGGAAACTTAGAAAATACTCGAAGCTGTGCGGGGGGGGAAGAGCTCCCTTCCGAGGAGGTAAGCGGGTCACATGTTCGGGCAGGCTTGCTCGTAGTGGCGGCCGCCACCCGCCTTGCCGGCGACAGCGCTCGCGTCATTACAAATGTGCGATTGCGTAATAAAGGCCGAGGCATTTTGATTTCCTGTTGGGTTTGGTCTAGCGATCGGGCTACGGGGGGGTCCGCCGAGCACCGGCCGTGTTTGTTCAAGTGTTGGGGTCGCGCGAGCGTGTGAGCGAGCGCTTCGCGCGCTTGCGATCGCACCGCTGCTATAATTTGCGTTTCAAAGGGCACGTTGCAGAGTGAAACTCATCCGGAAAAAAGAAAATACCCCCAAAAAATAAAACTTGCTCGGTCCCCCGCGTATACGCTTCGAATTGAACTGGTGCACTGGTGACGTGCTCGCACCACAGCCGTGGCGGCCTTCCGGCTGCTGCTGCCGCCGCTGCACAAGCAACGGGGCGCGTCGCTGTGCCGTGCCATGCGGTCTGTAGATGCCGCAATGTTACAGAAACAAAAATCGGTAGTCACGAGAATTTTCACGGAGTGAGCAAAGCAAATGTATTAGTTTGGTTGAAGAATTTCGACTTAATCCGTCCAACTTGAAAGATTTACGTTTTAAATGCAGCTTTTAACGAATGCGTCTGAGAACTGTCACACTGCGGTGCCAGTGCTGGCGATTATGTCTGTGTGCCAGGATCAGTGCCTTGAGGGCCGCATTCGGTGTCTGAGTGATGAGTCCGCATCTGCATCCCATTTGAGTGCCAGTTTAGGTGTCCGAATGCCAGCCTCGGTGTCTGAGTTCTCGCCTCGTTGTGTTTGAGTGCCGGGTCAGAATCCGAGTGCGAGTACCTGTCTGTTTGTGCGTCGGACTCATTTTCTGAGTGCCAATTTCCAGCTCTGTTTGGTGCCAGTGTCCGAGTATCATTCTAAGTGTCCGAGCCCCACATCATTGTCCGTGTGCCAGTTTTGATGCTCCAGTGTCTTTTTTTTTTCTCCGGGCCCTCCGGGGTTTTCCCTCCACATTTAAAATCGACATATAAATATCCACATGATGGTAAGCCACGTCGTTGAGCTATAGTTTGTGATAGCCAGGTTGCGCCTGAAAAAGAGCGACAGCTCAGTGGGCCTGACCTGGTAACATACAAATAGTTTCGTTTTAGTCCAGTTTCACGGACTGAGCGTCGAGGTCGGTGTCTGAGCGCCAAGCTGGGTCTCCGTATGCCAAGTCCCTGTGATGGCTACGCCGCCGCTGCCGCCGTTGATCGTGCTGCAGTGTGTGGCGCCGCCTTGGGATGTCACTGTTGCCCAGTTTTGTCGCCCTCGCCGCCAGTCCCCGCGCGTGACGCGCCCGAGTGGATCGCGTGAAATCGTTATTGTTTTCGCGCCTCTCTAATGAGCGGGGACGCGCTTCCCCCACCCCCCCCCCCCCCCCCCCCCGTCACGCCGCGCCCTGCCACAACGGGCGCGTATGCGATCCACTGAAGCCGGGCGAGCGGCGTTGGAGCCGAAATGAGTGCTGCGAATTTTAAGCATCTCCTTGCCCGCCTCGCGCCGGTTTTACCCATGCTCCGTGTGTTGGTTTTTTTTTTATCGTCGCGATATTGCCGCTGTCTTGCGGAGCCGCGCGATGGCACGCTTTAGTAATCTGGCTCAAAGTGGCTTCTGTGAAATATTTTTAAATCCAAAGGGATCTGTCGTATTCTGAGTATAAAGGTCCTCCGGATTCCTTAAATCCCTTCTTAATTTGCACTTTGCAGTGATGCGCTTACTCTGAGATTGTATGAAATGGCTGGAAAATCAAAGCAAAGGTCGTACGCGGGGAACTTTTATTAAAGAAGAATTTGAACTGATGTTTACTTTGATATGTTGGCTGTAATTGAACAATATCGTACTTTGCAAACCGTGCCAACGTAGTATTTATTTTCACATTCATCAGGTTGTGTAAATATTTTCCGTATTTTGCTCGTTAATGAATGAGCTTTCATCCGACCCGGATGTGTCCGTTGGCATGCGTACAGGCCTTGCCTTTTTTTATGCATTCACGTTGATGTCGTGAAATCGGGATTGATTAATTCTCGCGGTTAACGAATGTTTCCGTACACGAGGGAAATATACTTGAGATGCCCCGACGGCCCGCTGCAAAAGAGCCTTCACGTGCTCCGAGAGCGTTACTTTAATTAACCCTCACAGCGGCTGCATTTTGTGCGCCCTTCCCGCTGCTGCCCCGACATTCCCACCACCACCACCACCGCCTGGCAATCCACCCTTCACGGTGGTCGCCCATGCAAGCCGTATCCAGGCTCGACACCCTGCGTAGCTTCCGAGATCTGTCGCCACCGAGTGCGTTAATTTCGTCAGTGGTGAGAACTGAAAACTATTTTGTTTTAAAGGTAAGGCCCACTGAGCTTTGAAGCTCATTTTCATAAGCGACTTCGGCATAAATGGTAGCTCAACTTGTTGGCGTATCGCATGGAAATTTATAGCAGCCAAATACTTTAAATGTATGTTGGTTTAAATCCAAATATACAACAGGCGTTAGGGTCGGGATCGAACCCACAACCTCCTGCCTACCAGACTAGGAAGTTAACATTTCACAGGCCCAATGGCCCACTGCCACTACGACCCCCTCTAGTTATCGAGGCCTAGCCTCTGTGGTGCATGCGTGGTGTGTGCGTGATGTGCGTGTGCACGTGGTATGCATGGTGTGCGTGCGTGCGTGCTCCTGGACACTGTCATCGACAAGCGCGCTCACCCACCTCCTCTCTGCCATCGCCTCTGGCACGGGGGCAGCAGTGGATCGCTTGCAGGAGGGGCTCGGGCAGCAGTAGCAGCAGCGGTGGTGGTGGCTACGACACTCGCACCTCTGCTGGGGGGTGGGGGAGGGGTGGCGCTGCATGTGGAATGGGAACATTAATTTGACACCTTCAATCAGGGGAACAGTCGAGTGACTCGCTCCGCACGCGAGACGCGTTGTTGGGTGTGAAATGCAGGTAAAGTACTTTTTAAGCATCTTCGTTTTCAGTTGTCATGGTAACGACCTCACGGACTGGCTTGATTTTATATATAGAGCCGGTGGAGTAAATCTCATTTGGACGTTTGGGAGCAGCTGGGATTATTTAAACAACGCAGGCAAAAAAATAATATTTCCAAGCTATTGATATTTTTTTGTTATCTTAAAATTGTATTATCATGAGTGCATAATATTTTACATGTTATTTATCTTTCCCAGTTTGTGCTTTGAACCAAATCATCTGACCAGACGTGGAAACCCATTGCGGCAGTGCAGCTCATGGGCGGCAACCCAGCCGTGCACCCCCAGCACGGACGTGCGGCCCATTTTGCGAGCCCGCTAAGCACCGAGGCCGGTGATTAGCCGCCCTCGAGAATCCACCGGGTGCTCTTTAAGGACCTAAAACCACAAGCCCGCCGTGGCTGCCGCGCAGGCGATGCATTACGGCTGATGGCTTTGCCGTCACGGTGCTCGCGAGTCGCTGCACGCCGGCTCCCATGCCAGCAGGTGCCGGGCACAGCGCCCCGTGGTGGGATGGGTCCTCCCCGGCACCCTATCCACTCCGTCTCCCTGCGTCAGAATATTTGAGTGGCAATTTTTCGGTGGTATGGGGTCCTCTCTGTTTTCTCCGGCCGTGCTCAACCGTGTCCACCGTTCTTAGAAGCTGTATCCTAATGACTGGCTTCATGTAGTGTTACCACCTCTTTGACCATAGCCCAACGCTAACACCAATCACACACATTGGGTGGCCACTTCTGAGGTACAAAAAAACTAGGATATACAAGATCCTCGCAATGCTAGAACAGGGGCGAACTACGTTGCGACCGCATCGTCCCGAGTGGTGCATCATTGCTATTGCGCAACTGGCAATTGTGAGGTTATTTAATGTTCCCGACAGTCTCACAGATTTTTCAGGAACACTGCCTCACTCAATAAGAAGACCATCCTGGGGAAAACCAGGACAGGTGGCAACCCTGGCTCCTCATCGTGGTGGTGGTGGTGGCGGCACGTGTTTCGAGGGAACCCCCACCAGTGAAGCGAGCGCTAGGCCCTGTGTGGGCCACGCCATCAGAACCGAGCGGCTTGCCGCGTCTCCCGGCCACGCGCCTCCACTGTTCAGCCACTTGCCGTTGGCACAACGCTAGTCCCGTTCGGCTTTTGGAGGAGGAATTGGCGTGACCGTGACCAATAAAAAAGCTTGTTATGGGGTACAGCTTATGGAAGTTACACAAGCCACTATCAGTGTGATGGCGAGAATGCCTCAAGTCAGCGCATATGTGTGTGTGTGTTGAGTTTTTTATATTAAATAAAATGTGATCATGAGCTTTTGTCATGGTTTATGAAAGCAGGAGTTACACAAGCCACCTACAATGTAAATAGTGTATGCATGAAGATACCATTAATTATTATTCGTATGGCTTATGGAAGTCTGTTACGGAAGGCACTGTGTGCATTTGTTGTCTTGCTAATTGATGAATATTTGAACTGGTCCTGAGCTCACCACTAGGTCGTGGCAGGCTTAAATGAGTACCTCGTATAGTGCGTAAAAATCACCAGGGGGGGGAGACAAAGGCGGCCATGAGTGGTGTTGGCACCCACTCCCTCGTGTGCTGTGCCGTCTTTCATAGGTGCTCGCTTACAGCACTTGCCCTAACAGTCTGTTGAGGTTCAATGGGGGGATCTTTGTCTTGTTTTTTTTACACGTAAGATTTCCGTAACATGTACAGCCGTTGCAAATCATCTACCGGATGAAGGCATGCCCATGTGACGCTGATCGTGATTATTGGAGTTGTTTGATTATCCTGGTCCTCCATTGCGGCATTGTTTATTTTAGCGGTGTGTATATAAATATATACTTCTATTAGAATTCTTCACTGGTCTCACTTTGGTTGTTGTTGCCACGTGGCAGCAGCCTTGTCTTGGGTCGATGGAGCGTGGCCCCGACTCGGCGGGGGGGGGGGGGGTGGCGGGGGGGTGCGCGGAGGGGGGGGGGGGGACGAGAGCCGTTTGTGATCTCGAGATGCGGCCCCCGGAGCCCTTCGCGATTTGAATTTTTTTTTAAGGGTATCGTTTGTCCGTCGACAAAAGTTGCCCCCGTGTGTGAACGATGTGTAAAAAAGTCCGTTTTAATCGATGGTCGCGCATTTCGAACATTCGCAACGTGGAGGGGGAGAAGCGGCGGGGAGGAGACAAACGCGCCCGCGGTCGTTGCTTCCTTCACCCCGGGAGCACCCCCCAGAGTCCTCGCGATGCTCTTTCAGGAGGGGGTGGGACCACATCACTTGATGAGGGTTTGGGCTCGTGGTGCTCTCATAAAGACAAAGACACCCCGTATAGACAAAACAGACTGTTGGGGCAAGTGCTGTTAGCGAGCGCCTATGAAAGCCGGCACGGCACACGAGGGGGTGGGTGGCCAGCAGCACGCCCGGCCGCCTTTGTCTCCCTAGTGGCAATGTTTAAACGCAACACCAGCTACTCATTTGAGGCTGAGTCGGCCTAGGGGAGGCCCAGTTGCGATAATCGTCACTGGTGTTGACCGTGAGCGGGAATCGAACTCGGGTTACTGGGTTCGTATCACAATATGCCTACCGTTACACTACCGCTGTTAACTAAAAACACGTAAATACTTAGAGCTCCACACAGATAGGTTTAGGGTTCCATTGCTGGAACCCTAAACCTTCTGGCCCCTTCCCAGCCCAAGCCTACGACACCTGGTGTTCCGAAGCCACCTTCCAACCAGGCCTAAATGCGGCTTAGCTTCTACAATTGGACGTGTTTGGACGCATTCAGCGATGACTCTCACCGTGCCCGCTCATTTGCTTGGGATGTAACTGAAGTCCGAGTTACCCTCGCTCGGAATACGTCTGCAGCGGCATAGAAATGAAATCGTGATGGACTCTGGTTCTGGAAAACTTTGTTTCACGCGGGCCTATAAATGAAGACGGCAAGTTGTAAGTGGTAGGTTCTGAATTGGCAAATGAGAGGAGGAGTAAAAAAAAGTGCGTGCTTATGCATGCACGTTCAACTTCTTTCACACCGCACGTAGCCAACTGTGCTAATCGTTCTCCATTATTACAACCAAATGCATTGCACAAAGGTGTATAAGCTCTTGACACGTTCCGCAGAAATCTAATCGAAAGTGCAATCCGTTTGCCAGTGACATTTGTTGGGCTACTTGCCAGCACCCCATTATTAATTATTTCATCCGGTTTGAGCAGTTAAGTAGAAGGTACGTTCCAATGACGTCATCGCTTGTAAGTTACTGGCCATTGGAAGTTCCGAGGTGCTTTTTTTTTGGAAAGTTTGGGGTCAAAGTGTTGGAAATGCTGAAAGCTGCCAATTTTCTGAGAATGTCCTCGGCAAGGTGAACATTTTTTGCTTTTCGTTTTTCCCTCCCACGATCCGATTGTGAGATGCAGTGCGTGACGGACACATGGACACTTTGGATCTTTTTACATATATGCCACGGTGGCGAGATGTTCAGTACTTTACATATATAGGGGTGCCACGGTGGCGAAATGTACCTCGCCTGGTATGTAGTAGGTCGCAGGTTCGATCCCAACCCTGACGCCCGTATATTTGGAGTTTGTTTGTTCTCCCCGTGGTCGTGTGGATTATATATTGTCAGAGTATGTTTTTTTTTGCATTCTGACCACAAGTATTGTGGTTAATGCAGACATGCTTCCTTGTTAAAGGTTTCACTTTGGTGTTTTAACATCTTAACACCTGTTTTGTTGTCAGAAAAAAGGGGAAAACCTATTCCCAAAATAAAAATTGTTTAATTTTTAGTTTACATATTTTATATGGGTTTGTTCATCGGCCGTGCAAGTGCACGGAGCCGACTAAAACGATCGGGGTGCACGGTCCGCTGCCGGCGATGGCAAACGGGCAGAATAAGCTACCGTGCTGCCGGCCCCAGTCAAAGGGACGAGGAGGGGACGTCCGCCAAGCAGGAGCTCGACGATGAATGGAGGAGCGCGTTGGAGAGAGGGGGAGGTCAGCGGCGGATGTTGTGCAGATCGCAAAAACCAATGGGAGGTGGAGATAGTTTGATTTTTCTTTTTTAGTACGGCTGCTGATGTATATGCAAAGAAATAATTGCGATTTCACATTCAGTTGGTAAAGCCAGATAACCGCATCGGAAGTAGCGGAGTGGATCGCTGTGACGTCTCCTTCGTATTTGTGGATCGGGCATTGCGTCATTGTACGTTGTACGGTCCTGTTTTGGATGACCACAGTCGCACACTGGAGAGTTTTTCCATTTGTGCATCAGGTATCCGCATCTGCCATGGTTTGTGCAGTGGATGCGATTTAGGGTGGAAGATCAAAACCAGGGTCTTTAACTACCTGAGCCCCGCGCTAACTACCTGAGCCCCGCGCTCATTTAAAAATTAAACTGGTTTCAACAACAACATAGATGCGGAAGAGCAGAACCAGGGTTCGCAATAATATCAAAGCAATTGGGGATAAACATCGGAAACCAAGTGCCCCCCTGACTGTGATATGAGAGAAAAGGGGACACAGAAGGGCAAGAGGCAGGAATGGGAGAGCGGAAAGGGCATGGAGGGCGAGAGAGACCTCGCGGCCCTGATGCCACTAGAGCAACTTTTTAGGGCGGTCATTGTCCTTGACATGAGTTACAGCCTGGCATGGCAGTTTCATAGAACGACGGAGGCTCTCAACAATAGTCATCATTGGCGTCGTTGTTTATTGTCCTTGCCCCGCACCTCCAATTAGCACAGTTGGCTACGTACGGTGCGAAAGAAGTTCAACATACACATACTTTGGGGAAAATATAAATAAAATTAATAAGGTGGCGGTCTCCTACACTTCCGTTTCTCCACGTAAAAAAAAATGTTTTTTCTCATCTTGAAACAATACTGCTGAAAATTACGTGCTCCCAGAAGGCCGTGGGGCTGATGGCTCGTGGAAGAAGCTCCAGAGATGGATATGTGAAGGGAACATACTGTCTGCTTATTTATTTTGTTATTTAATCAACAACAATAATTCTACAGAGAATAAAACCTCGCGTGGGCACGTGACATCTGTCTTTGATCCGATTGGAAACTGCCATCCCACTTGCCCACTAGGGGGAGCGGCGATCAGATTTGTTCATTCATGGGGGGGGGGGGGGGGGGGCAACTCCAGCGTTCTATTTTAGAAAACATAAGCAACTGTTTCCAGTAATGTTCGCCGGTAACAGTTTGCAGTAAACGGACTGCGCAGGCCGTTTGCAACGGGCACCCCCCCCCCCCCCCCCCCCCTGTGTGGGCGTTGGCACGAACGCGGGGGTAAGCGTGCGGGAATGAAACCTTGCCAGCGACCGCTTTGCCTCCTAGAGTCCGGCCCTCCTGAATTTGGCCCGCCGGTTAAAAGCTTTGCCTACGACACGCGCACGTCATCGTTTCGCAGCTGGGCCGAGGCGTTGTGGCCCCCCGGGGCGCCGGCTCGGTGCGGGCACGATGCGCGAAGGGAGGAGGAGGAAGGGGAAAGGGGAGAGCCCGGCGATACAGCACGCTGATTGATTAAAGCGTACAGGAACGTGTACGACCGCGCTGATGCAAACCAGGCCTGGGCAGGTTTAGAACGCGGTGGGGGGGGGGGGGGGTTATAACGTTAAAAGCGAGAAAACAAAACGGCATCTCGGGTTTTCTGGTGAGGAAAATGACATCTGTGTGGTGTAACGAAGCCCTGATGAAATAAGAGGCAGAAGTGTTTGAGACCCACTCCTGCAAAGCATTCGCCTTTTGATGCATTTCAACGTAATACCTGGGGGATTATCTAAAAGTCTGAATTTTGTTTTCACCACTCTGTGAATCTTGCGAGCCATCGCCGTGGTGCGAGATGCTCGGTGGAGTGACAACAGAAGGCATGGCTCGCCCACGGTGACGGCGAGATGGCGAGACGCGGGCCCGGCCCAGGCTTCGCTGGTGGGAACCGCGCGGTTCCCCCACCCACCCAGGCGGAGACGGTGTCACCCGCTGGCCTTCTGCTTGTTTTGGCAATCGTCGTGCGGTATCCAGTGAAAATACAATAACAAGAAGCAAGACGTCAACGCATCAAGCAATATACAACTCCCTTGCGCTTCCTTCTTGTGCCCTTGTCTGTGTGCCTCTCTCTCCCTCTGCGGGTCTGGCTGCCTGGCTGTCTGCCTCCCTGGCAATGATTATGCCCAAGCTCCAGTCCAGGCTCAAGACCCCCTTCCTCTTCTCCTCTGACTCCGACTGATTATCTTCCGTCCATAACGTGTCTCCCATACAAAGAGAAAATACAAATTGGCCGACGACCAAATCCTCCTGCGCGCACCCGATCGCACCAGGTGTTGGTATCCATGCTGGATCGAGCTTGGACGGGCGCCCACCACGCACGCCAGCTTTTGCCGCAAGCTGCTTGCGGGTGGTGTGCTGTGTTGGTGATCGGCAATGGGCAGTGCAGCAAACGTTATTATTGTACTCTACTTCCGTTGTTGCTCCTGGGTCTGTGCTCCCCTTTCCGTCTAGAACACCGCACCGTCGTAGCGCGGTGAGGCACGATCGTTTATCCCCAGGGGAAGCGTTTTCATTCAGCAGTGGATTGTGATAAAAGGGGGGGGCTGCACATTTGCAAATACAAATTGCGTTGCGTTTTGCTCATTTTCGCTCCGCGTGGAGGCGTGTGGGGCGCCTTGTTGGTAACGCAAATTGAAGGCACGGTCTCCGTGGCGAGACGCGCGCCACCGCGTTCCTAGCCACTGTTTGGAGCGGCGTTTGGTTATAATCTCGGGTGACGGTCCCGGTCGATAGCTGGGGTCCATCGGACTCGAGGAGAGTGGCAGCGATGGTCAATAGCA